AATCGCCTAGAAAAAGTTACCACTACCACCACAGTGTAGACCCCAACCAAGGAGGTATAAAAATATATTATTATACCTTATACCTTATTTTTATACCTCCTTGCCCCAACCTACAAATAATTTTCTCAGTATAATTGATGATTAAAAAACTTTTTCATTCACAGTATGTAGAAAAAAAATGTAACAAATCATTTATTTCGCGAGTTAAAAAAGAACAAAAACAACCACAGATACTGTATTGGGAATAACCATAAGTCTCAATCACGTCATAGAAAAAAAAGTTTTTTTTTTTTTTTTTATAATAAAAAGGACTATCAACAACTATTTTTTTTTCCTTGGCCTTAATAAGATATTTCACTACAAAAATTATTGAATCTGCCAGCAGAAGTTTGGTAATGCACTGTAGTGCCTCTCTTATAAGCCCACCCCTATTTGAAATTTGAAAATGGGCTGATCTGGTGGGGGAAGGTGGGGGGAGGGGGAGGCCCAATGGAAGGTTTTAAAATTAATATTAAAGAACATTTTAAACAAATAACCAAATGCTTAAGCTGTTTTATGGTAAAATTTTTATCATTTTAATCTTAAAAATTTTACTTGTAACTTGTAACTTTTATCATTTTATTAAATCTCAAAAAATGTTTATAGAATATGAGTATGGCGACTCCGAAATTAATGACAGACATTAGGCTAGAGTACTACAACAAATGTTTAACTTTTCAATGGTTTTAAATTTTCAACTGAATTTTTACACTTCATTGCAATGTTTTTACCGTATCATTCATTTTTACCCTGTTTGTGCGGCATTGCTGTTTTTTTTTTTTTTATCCTGCTGATTTGTTTAATAATTCTATGTTTTGTATGCTCTTATTAAATGTACTGTAAGGACCCCAATGGAAATAAGGTTTCTTTTTTCACCTTCTTGGGTCATCCTAAGTATTATGCCCTTGTCTTCCCTGTCATTGTTTGCTTTGTATTTTTGTATTTGGTACTGAATAAATCAATCAATCAATCAATCAAAAATCAATCAATCAATGCAAAATGATCTTCAATATATTTTCTTAACAATGAGCAACTCATTGAAATTATACCTGGGTTTTGCAAGGAAATTGCAAGTACATGAAATTTGATGTAAGGTACTGTAGGGGGGGGGGGGAGGCTTTGTGTACTACAACACAAGGAACTACTGTAACAGTAGTACCTAAAGATAACCTAGACACAGTATGTTAAAACCTCCAATACTTTGTGAAGACATTTTTTTGTAATAACTTACCGTACTCGCGCGAATAAGCGCCCGGGCGCTTAAAATATTTTTTGCACTTTCTGATGGGCGCTTATTCAAATGGGGCACTTATTTAAACGGGGCACTTATGAAAACAGAGTGGAAATTGAGTGGGCGCTTATGGAAATAGATGAAAATCGAGGGGCTCTTATGGGAAATTATTTTAATAATCAAAAATTCAAGAGGCACTTTTTGAATGAAAAAAAGATTATATAAGGACAATATGAATGGTGGTTAGAAAAGATAATCGTCCAGAGAACAAGAATGCGTGAATATTTACATAACAGCAAAATAGCAGATGCAATTAGTGGTGGGTAGTGGTTAGTTTGTTGGCCATCAGCCGATTGAGATTATCAGGATGGCAGGATCATTGTATTTTTCTTGAAAACTCAGATGAGAATGTGCTTAAGGTCGAAAAAAGAAAAAGAGGAGTAGGACTAGACATAGACAAATATGTAAAAAGATTAAAGTTGGAAATATTCTGTCTGTCCAGGGATCGGAGCCCTCATCTGTCCAAGAGAAATATCCTTATTTTGATTGACTGAAGAAGAATGTGTTTCCACTCTACAGTTCAAATCATGCCAACAACCACAGTCCAAGGATGGATTGGATTATTGACTTGCTAAAAAAAAAAAAAAAAAATCTTATGAGGGTGCGCTTATTCAAACGGGGCGCTTAAGGAAATTTTCACGTTAGGAGGGGCGGTTATTCGAGAGGGGAGCTTATTCAAACGGGGCGCTTATTCGCGCGAGTACGGTATATTACAGAAAGTAAACTAATCATTTTCTTTGATCTTCAAATGGGTAATCACAGATTTACTTGACAGTACAGTATATACACTAAGAGGAAAGGGCTTGAAAGAAATAATTGACGTAGAACAACAGGAGGAAAGCACCTTCGTGGAAAAAAAATGAGTAATGATAGTTATAGCAGGGGATATGAAAGAGAAAAAATGAGCATTATCTTATATACAGTGAATTAATCAACAGAGCATGTCATAGAGAAAAACTGGCAAAATTAAAACCTGCTAGAAGATAGAACACCCATAATTATCACCTTATATTATTTTAAACCAAAAACAACTTAATAAATTTTGAAAGAATTTCATCGGGCTCGAAGAAATATCTCATATACTGTAACAATTTCTTTAAAACTTCGCAAAGGGTGGGCCATTTCTTGGCAATGCCAGCAATTTCTAAGTGGTGTGGGGATTACACTGTGGGGTGGTAGTGGAGAGTCCCACAGTAGAAGTGAGAAATTCAGTGACATGGTTGTAATTCCCAGATAGGGTTGGAATTAAATTTTTGTAATTCCCAGACAGGGTGGGAACTACCAAGTATGGGAACTACCAAGTATGGGAATTCCCTGAAAAAAACATTATAACAATTTTAAGCAGTGTACAGTTCCCAAAAGAGGACTTTCCCAAGATGTTGCATTATATACTACTATATTCAACAAAATAATAAAGATTTGACATTCATGAGATTTCAGAAAGTTTCCTCCCATAATAGTAAGGCCAAGGGAAATCTCCTGAAAGTGCAATTAAGTTTGAATCGAAATTTTCAAAAAGCATAAAAAAATGGTTTCTTCTATCTCTGGTCCATTTTGTGGTTACAAATTGGATGGTATCTGAAAAAGGAAATAACCAACCCTCACCCCACCCCCACCTTTTTTCTCATGCTGGTACCACCTTTGCGTGACGATTTTACATAATTCATATGTACTGTAGATGATTGCTATTTATTATGATTGATCTACTGTATTGAGAAACACGAATGCAAGACAGGAGGAATTTACATGATAGTAAATTTGAAGGCAATACACCTCCACTGCAGCTGGTGATAATTAAAGATAATACAGTAATTAATAATGAAATTAGTTATAACAATGCCAATGCCATGTGTCTTGGCTTCAGCCTTTACGCACACTGTAAGGAGAAAATATTATTATTAAATGTCAATCAAGGCTTCATGAACAAAACTTATCAATACTAGGCCTAGGTTGCAAAATATGTATGCGAGATCATGCATGATAGTGATCCCTACCTACCAACTTAGGCCTAGCCTAGGGCCAGGCCTAGTCCTAGGCTAAAACCTCCTCCTCTAGAACCGAGCTATCATTATCATTATAGGCCTACTATCAATAGTCTAGACATATCTTATTTAGTAGTCCTAGGCCTAGACATATACAGGTAAAGGTTTAGCTAGACCTATTCCTATTATTATGGTACTAGGCTATGCCTCCTAGTAATAGTAGCACTGCAGAGGGCCCGGGCCTAAACTACACTAGGCCCCCAGGTTAGGTTGCCTGCCTAGGCTAGCTAGGCCCCGGCTAGGCCTAGACTACAACTAGACTAGGCGCTGTTTTTTTGGAAGTAGCTGCAATTTGGAAATGAATGACATTAATAGTTTATTTTGAACTACCACGCTTTTTTCATTATCAATAATAATCCACCACAACCGCGAGTACGTACCAAGCTCCACTCTCTCTAGAAACCGGCTGAGCGATTTACAAAAAGCTATTTACATTTACCAAATAAGGCAAGTCACGAGACAGACACAAAAGAATACTTCAAAGGGAAATGTCGATTTTGTTTGTCAAATCCATTTGTTTCCGGATATTGTGACGTAGTTAAATCAACCACAAAATACAATAGATCTGATGAGCCGAGTCCATCCTGCATTTAGGAAGAAACAGTAATTATAATAATTTTTATTTTTTAATTCAAGTTACCATTATGCAAATATATTAATATACATTGTTTAATATATTAATATTGAAACAACATCTGATCTTACTAAAATTAAATATTAAGAGCTTATTATATTTTGTACGCCCCTACACAAAAATGTAATATTCCTGGAGAATACCCATTTCAGGTGACGTCAGTAATTGGGCACTCCCACTACCCACAATACATTGAGACTCACTTAGCCAATCAGCAGTCAGATTCTTTCATTTTCTTTAGCCGATGATATCATCTAGAGCCAATGAAAACGCTAGGACTTGATGTCATTTCACTAATATCTATTTTTAGACATTGAGTCAGTGAGTATAAAACTGACTCAGCATTTGCTTAGGAAACGCATTCCATTACTCGGAGAAAAACAGGCAAGATCTGTGTGCTAACACAAAAATCGTTCAACCAATACATAACGAAGGAATCCCGAGTATATTTGTGTCGGTAGTGACTCACAACTTAGCTTGAGAGACGTTTAGTCAGTGTTTTCATTTGTATGTCGACTACTCAGAAAAAAGGCAGTGTAGTTGTACAACAGAAGCAACAATCCAAGATGGAGACTCAATTTTATGAAGATCATCCGAATTGGATACAGAAGAAGAAGAGCATGACTCTGGACCTAGTTCCTGGCTCTCGTACTAAGAAGCCAATGACGCTTCTATCTACTCCTGATGTGAATATGTTAAAACTGGCTTCGCCAGAACTTGAAAAATTGATCGTTAACCAACAGGGAAATGTATGCACAACACCAACACCAACGCAGTTCATATGCCCGAAAAACGTAACGGACGAACAGGCTGCATTCGCTCAAGGTTTTGTGGAGGCTCTTCATAATTTGCATCATATTACCAATGGTAGTGAAACTGAGGATAATCAAGGAGTTAATGTGCAGTACTTTCCTCAAGCGGCCGTGAACAGGGCTCCGCCAAATACAGTGGTAACCACACAAGCTTTCAATCCCACTCACACAACGACCACTCTACCTGGTGCGCCAGCCGTAAGCATGACGTACACAAATAACAGCCTGCCTACGTCGACGGCTCATGCTTCGGTTAGTGTGATCAACAACACAGGAGGTTGGAGACATATCAAAGAGGAACCCGAACAAACGGTACCCGTATACCATGCTACACCACCCATGTCCCCAATCGATATGGACACACAAGAGAGGATAAAATCCGAAAGGAAACGACTTCGAAATAGAATCGCAGCAAGTAAGTGTCGTAAGCGAAAGCTGGAGCGAATTTCACGCTTGGAAGATAAAGTGAGTGAACTAAAATCGCAAAATCAAGATTTACAGACAGCAGCCACCAAATTGAGAGAACAAGTATGTCGATTGAAACAAAACGTGATGGAACACGTCAAAAGTGGATGTCAAGTAATGCTTGCTCAGCAGTTGGCATTTTAAAACCATCATAAACAGACATTTTGGACAATGAAAGAAAATTGTTGCCTTGATGAGTGTTTGAGAAACAGGGGGATTGGTTATTGGAGGATGGGTAAACGTAGTACAGTAATTATTCAATTAAAAGACAGTGATTGTTTATTCGGATATGTTATGCTGCTTTGGAAGGAAATGAGATGCAAACATCATATCACTTCTATGGTAGCTTCACCAGGCAGGAAGCTATGAAAAACTCGAATTATTTGGAATATTAATTATGAACAATATGTTAACAACTCTATTGTTATAAATCTAATATAATTCTTAAACAATCGTTTTTACAGGTCTTTTTATAAAACGCTATTAGCTTTAATATCCATCCTTTGTGATAGCCTTTTGATGATCACAATTTGTTGTGTAAAACGTCACGAAGCTAATCTCGTGACCTCGTGATACCAGCAGTTTTAATTGAACTCTGAACTCTTGCAAGGCCAATGCCATACGAACAATCTACGTGTGTCTATGATAATATCATAATCAGAAATACATAATCGCCCCATGTTTCAATTAATATGATTATAAAGGTGAAGAATTTTCTCTAAAAATTATGTACATACAAATTATTATAACTCCTAAAATTTGGGCTGGAACCATTATGTTAAATGAAATCAGTATTAGAGATGTGGTTAATAATTTATTGCTATATAATAATGATAGGAATGCAACTGCTGGTCATTGTTAATATCCTATGTTTTGCCAAACGGTACACAATATTATCTGATTTTACCAGAGTTCCTCAAAACCTCAACAAAGGAGATGTCGTTGGCAGGAAATGATTGATTCTTTCACAATCCTTGTTATTAGTTTCTGCTAGTCAGTAAACTAGGTGATAATATTGACTGCGTGTACATATATTATATTTGGCCAGAAGATCGCATGACGGCCATCAGTCAATTTACGTTGCTTTGTATTTTATGTATAAAAGAAATTTAAGGTCACTGAATAAATTTCAAAATCTGAAAATATATACGTGTTTTGTATATTATTCTCTGTTGTTAAAGAGGTAGTTGTGACAGTGTGAGGTAGAAAATGATTACAATGATATTGGTGTTTAAGGGGAGACCCCAGTAGGCCTTACAATTAACATGTGTGTTTTCATAACTTCCCATGTTTTGAATGATTCCCATGCTTTTTAATTACACTATTTGTGAACGATCTATGATAATTATATACAGTAATTATATTTAAGGATTCAAGTCAAAAATACACAGTTCAGTACTGTACTACGAATGTGTAAGAATAATGTTACACTGTACGGCAACTGTCTGTACCTCCATTTAAGGATTCGTTTAAAATATTTCGTAAATTTTGCAAAGCATGGAGATCGACAGGAAAATGAAAACGGATAAAACAAACCACAATGACCTAGTTACTGTGACTTAGCAATGTAATGGAGATCTTATTGTCTCAACTGGTGTCATAGGTCGAGTCAAGGAAAATACATCCCCTGTCAGAAAGTCCTACAAAATTGATCACACTCTTGTCGCTAATTATAGTGAGAGAGAGAGGCATGCTATTAAAGTATAACTTATAAAATCCGTTATTATTTATTGTACACCGTTACTGTTCATAACTGAAGAACAGAAGTACGATATTTGAATCAAATACCATATATTATATTGATATACGCGTAGGGTAAAACATCGATCTTCATCAAAATGGTTCTTCAGATAAATTCTTTCGAAACATCGTAGTAGAGTCGAATTATAAATGAAGTTGCTGCAGTAGTGTATATAAATTTGATAACCTTACTTTACGTAAGCCTAGGCCGACGCAAATGTCCCCTCATCATTCATTCATTGCAATTAGTACAACACGCATGGCATGATTTAAATAATATTGTGTGGAAAGAAGTCAGTCGCTTTGGAACAATATCTATTTTTAAGTGTTTTTCACCAACAGTGGCATCAGTACCTAAACTGCATATTCTCACCTTGGTCATATTTCCTATTATAACAGGTGCTCGAGTTTTTGTTTCCTTTCCATATCATTATCATTGCGAGGATTTATATTGAATTAAAATTCAGCAATCATACTCCTCGATTTGAATCTTCATATTAAACTACAATTGTCTTTCGGCTATACTTTCCAGACGGGGACTGGAGATCAGTGATCGAATGAGGAAATAAACACATTGTTTTAACTGGAACCGTGTGTACAATATTATACAGAATACATGTTCTCAAATCGAATAGGCCTACAGGCTGGCTGTGTGCGGATATAGGCATTAAACGTATTTTTCCTTTCCACCATGTTAAATCCTTCATAGATCCATGAAATTTAAAAAGTAGTAATAAAATATAATTTCTTATATAACAGATGGATAAAAAATAACAGTGTTCCGTACCCTATATTATGTCTGTTAAATTTTTGTGACAGTGTGTATAAAGCTGTCTCTTATACACATCTAGATGTGTATAAGAGACAGCTCTGGACCTAGTTCCTGGCTCTCGTACTAAGAAGCCAATGACGCTTCTATCTACTCCTGATGTGAATATGATATATGTATATATATATGTATATATATATATATTTATATATATATAGTATATAGGCCTATATACATTGGTGAAAATATGCAACATTCTCTGGCAAAAGGTGAAAGATGTCATATACTAATATTAATCTACTTAAATACAGTATATGGCTTATATTTCCTGTAAGTCATATTTCCATCATCAAGCGAATTTAGGAGAGTTGTAGATTAAAAACATTGATGGTGATAGGCAATGTACCGTACCGGTATAAATGTAGGCCTATAATATTAAATAATTTAATGTTCAAACTGCTGAAATTCGATAGCCAAAACGGTGAGAAATATGTAGACCTTAATAAACATTTTCGCCATTTTTTAAAGTGCCTAATGAATAATAAACACAAAATTAAACATAGGCCTAAATATTGCTTAATTATACACTTGTCTGTCTCTTCAACATAAATATCGTGATGGAAGCAGTTTTTTAGGGCAGAAAAAATTGTCGGTGCCGCATTAACAGGTGTATATTCAAAGCGTTGACAAACTGTTCCTTTCTCGCAAACAACTAAATTGTCACTTTCCGGTTCAACTAGTGAACTAACTTAAAGTCTTAAGGCTCCATTCACAGCTTCTGATAGTTCGTCGTATTACGGCATTTGCCTTTCCATGTCAAATCAAGTTGTCATAGTACAGAAGAGCAGACCATACTTTTGGGGGTCGGAGCCAAGTCAAACTTATAATAGAGCATACACAGTTGCGTAAAGACGAGGTATGATGATCATGATAGCGATGAGGATGATAATAAAATAATAATAATAATAATAAATAATAATAATAATAATAATAATAATAATAATAATAACAATAATAATAATAATAACAATAATAATAATTAATAATAAATAATAATGATAATTGCCTAATAATAATGATAACTTCAAGGCTTATTTTAATAATAATATGGTAATATTAGCCCTAACACCAAAATAATGTAATAATAATGTTATTCCCCTATACCTTACCTTTAGAACTTTAAATTAATAAAATAATAAATCAAATCGTCATTAAATAAGCCGTGAACATTTGACGAGGCATATGATGATGACAATAATTATGGTATTTAATAGTCCTACAACAATATCAATAATGATGATGAAATCGGTTGTTTTACAATGTTTATTTCGAGATAGACGAACAAGCTTAGTATATAGCTGATCGCTGTCACCCTCAAAATGACATGCTAATTTTACCGGCCTATAACAATAATAAGGTTTGCGTAATCATATGAGTTTAAATAATAGAATCAAATCAAATTAACGTTTATAATAATAATAATTGCAGTACCGTATATAGCCAAACAAAGTTTGCAAAGCTGATCGCTGGCGCCCTCAAAATATATTAAAAATAAAAAGTGAACATTTTTTGCAATTCAATAACCGCATAAAAGTCGTGTTTACCCAAAAAAAATAAGATAGTTCATACGAGACTAAATGTTTCATTTTCAGTTTCCAAACCTCCAAATGTTAACGAACGTTTAAACGCGTTAGGGAAAACCCCACTGCAGAAAAAAAATCAACACGTTGACGAATAGGCTGTCACCGCTATATTTAATTGCAAGCAGTTTGTTTGTAATTATTCGTCATTAGGCCCTCGAACAAACACAGAGGCAGGCTGAGCTACATCAATTAGCCAGTGCTGCGTTGGCTCTTCTAACTGAAAACGGAAACATATTTAGTGATATAAACTTACTAATACCGTACTGTCCGTGCCGAAATGAGGTGGAAAACCCCTAAAAGTCAATTAAAATATTTATAAATTCGTTCAAAAAAATCCACTGAGTTATCCAAACGTAAAAATAATTTTCAGATTTAGGACTACTTAAAATTATATGGGAAAGGTACTAATAATTCTGGCCGTAATGTATTAACGTGTGTTTTTTTTCTAATAAATTTTGTTTATCGAATCTATTATAATACTGTATAATGAACGGTATATCCCAATCATTTAAATAAATTATTCACCGTGAATGCTCGAATAAGCGCCGTGGCACTTATAGAATTTTTGGAGGCTTTTCAGCGCGGCGCTTATTCGAGAGCGGCGCTTATAATATTGACACGACGCTTTCCACGCCCGTTCCTATGTTACCTATCTCACGTATTCCCGAAGTTTAGTAGGCCTATCATAGGTCCTACGTCATCGTAAACAAAATTTAAAGAAATGGTTGTGTCTTTATTGTGTTATTTATTCATTTTAACACTGTGTACATTGTATTTTAAACGCTTCTCAAAGTGTTTCATTACACACATGGCAATACCCTCGATTAAGCACCGCGGTGCTTATTCGAGAGCGGCGCCGCTTATTCGAGCATTTACGGTAATGTATGGCCCTCCCTGTTTAGATGATGTATGGTACCAGCGCCTCCATAGAGGCTTTGTTGATTAGATTAAACATCCACAGATTCATTTGATCTAAATAATAATGCCATGTAGGCCTACTTCCAGATAAGTTCATGCGATGTACTGTACTGTACTGTAGCCTAATATTGTAGGAAGTATTGACAAGCTTTGTTTGATGGTATGTGAGTGTTTACCGAGTATCTGGCGCTTATCACTTCGTTAAATAACCGTAATCACGTTTGACGTAAACCGTTAACCTGGAGGTTCAAAGCCTGGGTCTCAGGAAGATTACAATTATGCCTTTCTCAAACTTCATTGCCACACCCATGTAGCCGTTAATTCTTTAATCATCAATTACACGAGTGAAAAAAGTTCTATAATTTGCGGTTATAATTATGATGATGGGACAACTGATATGATGAGAAGTCGTTTGAACTTTTATCGACTCAAGTGTAAATTTTATTGGGTATATTTACAGTATTTAGCTCAAATATCCGACATTTTTATATTGCTTCCATAACATATGAGTTATTTTTGAATCTATTGTGTTCGCTTATCGATATTCGAGCCATAAAAACAAAAATAGGCCTTTTTGTAATATATCAGAAAAGAATAATGTATTGCACTGCACAAGCCTGTAGGCAGGATTTTTAGAGGGTGGTTCTAATAAAAGGGCACTTCGAGTCCACACCACACCCCGCCCACCTCTGCCCTACCATAGTTGGGTTAAAACACCCCAGATGTCCGGAAATGGCAATACAAATGCCACATTTCTAACATAGGCCCTATGAAGTTAATTTCAAAAACTTTCATGCAAATGGTACAGTACTTCTTAGTAAGGATTTAAAAAGGGCATTTCTGGAGAAAAAAAAAACAAAAAAAAAAAACACCTCCTGGCTACGGGCTTGTTGTACATGACATTTTATATAGAAAAAAAATACAAGTTCAAGGCTCGCATACGGGGTGTACAGTGTGCAGCCCGAGATCCAATGGCACGAATGCAGTTAGGGAACAGGTTGTTGTGAGGGGTTTTAAATCTCAAATATTAATTTAATATCAGTTGAGCGGACAGAAATGGGATTAAGGCCAAGAGAA